GTTTATACGCACGCCGCTTCACCCAACATAAATTTGATGACCAACATGATTATGTGTTATTCGATAACAAGTTGGCTATTAGGTTTCCAGGGTATTGAAGCGGTTCTTGCTCTATTGTTTCTTCTGTTTTCAATTAACTTGAGATGAAAATATACACTATAATTTAACTCATAAAATGGTTTTATTAAGCTTATTTCTTTGAGAGTGGAAACTTTGGATTTGAGTTGGAAGGTAAAAATGAGATTTGGAGGGAACACTACTTGTTATCTAATTCTTTGCACTAGAGTACACTTATCCTGACCCTCTGACACACGGATAAGATAATAACCCTTGTGCTGAGGAAAAAGGTCCACCCCTGACACAGGCTTTTGACTCAATACGCCATGGACCAGCTACATACATGGATAACTTGGTGACTACTTATCCGCTGCTATTCTTGTCGTGCGGGTTCCAATTTCTTACCCGCGATGTTCTATCCTGAACCATTGCTGGCCTTCTGACTAAACCCTAATTGATTTATAGCAGGTGTTTTCCCTGTAAGCAAACGAGCTTTGTCATCCCAGAGTCAACCATGAAGTTGCTTCTTCTTACGTGGTTCCTAGTGCACAGTAGCTGTACTCCAGCGTCTACCGGCGTATCTCATTAGATGTCCCGGGAGAAGGTGTTTGCCTTTTCAAAATTGTAAATTGTGTCGCAGACTTCGGGCATTCTACACATATACAACCTGGTCAGCCGTTGTTGGTGTAGGCTTCATACCACCATTTAACATTCAAAGTGCTTGTATCTTTCGTAGTTACCATTCTACGTTTTTCGTTAGGGACCAAGTTTCACACGCGCAGCCTCTCGTGTTCTTAGTCACACTACTGATTGAGTCAGCAGCCCGCTCTTTCTTTCTCACAATTTCATCAGACCCTCTTTCATCTTCACTAGACGGCCAAGGTGCAGGTATTATCTGACTTGGTTTCGCAGACGAACCCGGCAGAAGGGGGATATTGTAAAAATGATTAATCTGTCATGGATGTTCAATTTTCCGAGCACTTAACACACATAAAGACATGCTGGGGCCGTATTTTTGGGAACAGATCTATAGAAATTCGAACTGCTCGTGAAGCCTCTTGAGACAAGTTCGATGTCATTCAGAAACGATGTAGGTCACTTGGAGTCTCAGAGAGCATTACAGCTAAATGCGAAACGGATAGATAGATACAGGCAATTGTGTTATGGAGGAGAAATAGGCCAGTTAGTCGACGCTTTTTCATAGTATTTTATTTCCAAAGTCTAGAAAAATAGTCGAAGTCACGCGCAAAATAATTCAGGAGTGGCAATTTACTCAGAATTTTGTGTAAGCTGATTGCATATTAGAATGGTGGTGTGTGGAAAATAGTGGTCAGTTTTTTTATGCTTATTTTTCATGTTTTTATCGAGAAGCTTCAGTGAATTGACAGCGAGTGATGATATCATCTATAGTGCTGAATTATCGTCGGAATCCTGTCGCACCGGTGAAGCTCCGAATTTCTTCTCATTCAGACTGAAATGCGTCGCGAAAACACCATGTATAATAGCGATAGTAGCGTCATGGGTCGGTATCTGTCCAAGTTCTCTTTTTTCTGCAGCAGAACTGTTTTGGATTTCCTCCAAAACACAATTCACATTCATTAATATGAGTGACTCGTTGAGCTAGGGCATACAGGGCGGGAGAAATTACTGGTGCAGCAACGTTTTTCGCGTTTTGGGACTAAATTTTAGTGATCAATTTCAACCATGATATTAGGTTGTCCCATAATTAGTGAATCACTTTACATTTATTGCTATAAAATCAAGAAAAATGGTGAAGGCGTGAAACATGTTTTGCGAAGTAGCACCCACATTATCCTACCTGAGCATTTAGTCAGCCCATTTACATGCTGCCTTACGTGGCTATTACATCAATTTTTCTGGAACCTATTTTTGAGCTTCCTTCTTCATCACTTCTGATTAGGATCTTTCAAACGCCAAACAACATAGTGGATCAACCAGCAGATAGGCGAGGACACACTCCTTCAATCCACGGTTCACTCTATTCCGGATTTGGCTTTTTCATTTGAAGATGACCCACACTCCAACTACCCCTCTACTGGCAATCTTGCTGCTCTACCCAGCGCCACTGAGATTGGATCTGGACAAAGTAGTCGCTATTTGTCAGAGCATATCCGACTTGTTAAATGATGGAATGTAGACATTTCGTAGAGTCGTAAAGATTTTAAAATATGGAATTTGTATCTCACATGCTCTGTGCCCGAATCACCCTCGAACACGATCTGACATCATCATGTTCCTTTTGATTTCCTAGAGTTCCTTTCAGTGATCGTCCTGCATATTCACCAGTGTTGTAGACTGGGTGGAGTGTGCTAGCAAATCCACCAGGAGCAGTAGCCTAGCTCAAGATTCGGGAGTTCTGACAGCAAAAGCCCAACTTCCTCTAAGTTCGACACTTCTGAAATGTTGGTGAAACACGAAAGGAACCTTGCGCTGGGAACCGCGCCCAGTAATACTAGGGTCAGTGAAGAAGGCAAACGTGGACAGCACATGGCAACGTGTTCAATTTGAAAGCAAAGCAAGACAAAGTCAGCTTTTTTTCTAGGTCGTTCGACCCACCTCTCGCAGATTCAGAGGAAAGACAGCGGATATTCCCATGAATAGGCAATACATTATAGATGACAGAGGTGTATGTTTGGATGAGCAAGGACTTCGAATAAAAAAGAAAAAAATTCGAATTCAAAAATACCCAAAGTGATTCACTAATTATGGGACAACCTAATGCTAATTCAGAAAAGATGGCCACCAAAATTGTCGACTTTTTTTTAGAACGATCGCCTCTGGTCTTCACACGGTTTTTTAGACCCATGACAAATGCATTGCATGCGGAGAGCATGCATCTCTTTCAATTCGTCTTGTATTGCAGAAGCGCCGTTGTGGTTCGTATTTGAGCATTCGGGAAAGCATGCTTTTTTTGCAGGGTGTGTCACCGCAAGCTTATATAGACTCCATGGACCATCACCCCTTGAGCTTTCCGTTTTGGTATTGTTTCCAAAGTTTAGAATGACAATACCATCCTTTAGCAGGCTCTGAAGAGGTGCAGTGGTTTGATTAAAAAATTCGAGTTAAAGTTCTTCTTTATCGACTCCATTTCTGACCGAGATGTGGCTCTTAATCCTTCAATGCTTTTAGACAAGGAATTGTGCACCGTGCTAGCCCTTGCTTTCCTACTTCAAGCTATGTTTGTTGATAGCAGCGTCCAATAAATGGGATGGGGACAAATTTCTGAGAGCTTTTATAAGAATAAGTCTATGGACCCTAGGCAATATTTTGTCTTTAACATGATTTCGTGGACCATCCATTATTGTGAGAGAAGGATTCTGCCACTCGACAGAAGTTGTGGTTGTGGTCACAATACAGTCTTGTTATACAGGAATCAATGTCTTCCTTTACATCATTCAGCATTTCCAAGTTGGTGTTGTCTATCGCCATCTTCATTGCTCCACACTGAGTACTCTTACCCGAGACAATCTCATCTAAATAATCGAAT